TATATATATATATATATATATTAACCCTGCACGAAATTTGCATTTTTAGAGCACATAACATATTAAACATTTTATTATGTGCAAAAGCGTATTCGTAATACGTGTTACAGAAAGAATTAATGAAATGGGCGACAATGCCTAGTTAGCACCGTCACATATGGTTTCTAAGCTCTACCGATCCGTTGTTACCTTACAATAATCTAAAAGTTTGAATTTCCGCCTGAAGTTTTTCCCCTACTTAAATGATTTAGATTGAACAACAGATAACATCTTCCATCGATATGTTGACTCAATTGGATAACACATTTGTTCTCTAGTCTTCTTAAATTTATCCTGGAAACTCTGGCCGCCTGTAGCCATCCAGCTATATCGCTTTTCGTAATTGTTTTCGCGACGCTTTTCTTATAGCATTCCACCAGGTGTTCAATGGATTGGAATCAATACAACATGAGTACACGCATGAAAAACATAGCGGTCTCACATACGTCAAATATGTATATGTATGTGTGTATATGCTCATTCTATTTTAACATACGTTTCTTGTTAAGCCTTCTTTTTCGAAAAATATAAGTGGACATGTGAGAGATGTGTGAAAGCTCTGACAACTCGATACGAAAATTAGTTGTGCAAATATTATGCCAAACCTAGCTTCAGTTAGTGAGAGCAGAAATGAAATACATATTGAATACAACATCATAGCAAACGTTATATAAGTAGTGGCTAACACCGTTTTTAATGTCACGAAGGGGATTCACAAAAAACAATTAACACTTTGTACCTATTCTTTTATTTGACAACTTGTATTATATAAATGAATGTGCACATTCTGTTGGCTAGCTATTATACATACATGCTTTTCTGTATCTCTCACAAGGTTACGATAACTGACCAATTACTATTAACTGTGCCTCATGGTTTCAACCACATTTTAAGTAACAGGAGAGTAAATAATAGGTTACTACACAGAAGGCTCCAAATGCCCATAGTCGTAGCGGGTAGTTGTCTATGCGAAGAACCATGCTGAGCGCGATATGGGATAATTGTTGAAGCAAGAAATAATAAGCGTTGCAATAACAAGTGAAGATCAGAACATCACAGAAGAATGAATATATGAATCTGGTCCAGGTATTTTTATAAAGTGCTAACATATGTATATTATTCTTTGTATATGTATATATTAAATGAACGCGCACGTAATAGTCTTTAGCAGTTAACATCCGCTGTGTATGTATGCGGGCACTTGGCTGGCCCAAACATAAGAGCTCCAAAAGAAATATCGATCAAGAGCAAATAGTAATAAACGAGATTAGCTGATGACGTCAGTCAACCTTGTTGTACTACGCTAGTCACAAACATGTTGTGTACATTTTCTCTGCTACAGGAACCGAATGCGCACTAGAATGGCAACAACCGGAACAGCCGGATGTGTTCGTTTTCGGACCGATTCTACCGGTGATACGCAAGCGGCAATTAAGCAGAAGCTAGATGAAGGCGAGGTCACGGTATCGGAAAGCGCTGTGGGATTTTGTGACTATTTAAAGGATAATGCGTCAAATATGGAGGGATTGTCTCAGAACTCTAGTGAAGATGGAGCCACGGCAGTTGTCGTTGACGTTACTGTGTCGTTCTGGGATTACATGCATAGCGAAATTCGGCGAGGCTACTTTCTTGAGAACGATGAAGAGCACTACGACGGTCGACGGGAGAAATTTTATATGTTTTTTAAGATACCAAAAGAGTTTGAGAAATTTCAGTTGTACGGGCTCATACAGTGTGCCGACGCGTTTCTCTTTGTATTCACATTACTACCTATACGCTTTGCCTTAAGCCTCATATTAGGTTTTAGTTATCCCTTGAAAAGAGGAATCAACAAGCTCTTCATGAAAGGAAGTAGTCCGAGCCATTCAACTAAGCGTTTGTTACAGCCGGCTGAAATCTGCGATTTACTGAAGGGCTTAATTATTGTCATTGTGGCATTGTTGGCGTCGTTTGTCGATACCTCCGTCCTGTATCACATAGTAAAAACCCAATCGGTCATTAAACTGTACATTTTCTTCAACATGCTCGAAGTGGCGGATCGTCTTTTTAGCAACTTTGGCCAGGACATTATTGATGCATTATTCTGGACAGCTACAGAGCCACGAGGGAGGCAAGGAGATGGCCGTCGACGCTTCAGTTTGCTAAAGCATTTTTTGATGGCAGTAGTGTACGTTTTGCTACACTGCCTTCTGGTCATGCTTCAAGCAGTTACATTGAATGTTGCCGTCAACTCGCAGAGTAAAGGTCTTCTCACTATTATCATGTCAAATAACTTCGTCGAGTTAAAAGGAATGGTGTTCAAGAAATTTGAGAAAAACAATCTCTTTCAAATGTCGTGCAGCGATGTTCGCGAACGCTTTCACTATATTGTACTGTTATTCGTTGTCGTGCTGCAGACAATGAAGGAATATTCATGGGCAGCTGACCCATTGTGGGACCTGTTACCTGCTTGTGCCTGGGTTATGTTTGCCGAAATTATCATAGACTGGGTGAAGCATGCGTTCATAACACGCTTCAACGAAATTCATTACTCGATGTATTCTGAGTACATCACGTATCTGGCCTATGATGTAGCATCCTCCAAGCTAAAGAACGCCTACTCGGACCACTCAGATCTCGTAGCACGCCGAATGGCATTTATTCCTCTGCCGTTAGGAGCTCTCGTCGTCCGCATTGTCGTGGGAAGTGTAACACTCAATGGCTCGTTCGCTTGGCTTCTAGCGATGCTAACATGGGTCATGCTGTTCTCACTCAAACTAGCCGTAAACATAATTTTGCTAGGTCGAGCATGTGTTCTAATTGAGCGACATCGAGCGACACAGAACGAGAAAAAGCGACCAAAGCGAAATTGCACATCGTTACCTTCGTCGCGGAGACAATCGCTAGAAGACCTACGAAACCCAGATCTTATCAGTTTAATTAAAAATCCTGAGGTCAAATCAGAACCGCAGTCCACCAACCCTTCAATCAGTTCAAGCTTGGCTGATATACGCGATCAGACTGAACTAGTGCAGCAGTCAATGAATGAAGCGCCAATCTTTGCGGAAAGCACGATGGACATTTCCACATTGGGCATCAAAGAAGATGTTCTAGGAAAAAACGTAGACGTTCCCCAAAATGCCTGCCAAACAGGGAATACGGAAGCCAGTAATCTTTTAGCAGAAATTAAAAATCGAGGACGGTCTGTGTCGACCGGGATGCTGCCAGCCTTACCATTACAGAACATAAAAAAAGATGCATAGGCATATAGATGGGCGGATGAATAAATATCTTGTAGAGATATCTCAACTTAATATTTTACTAAAACTGTTGCTAATTCACTTTATATGTGTTAACGTAGCAGGTGCGGATGTACACATTTATTCAAATTAAACTAAAGCGAACACAATAGACCATACACAAAGCGAGTGGAAACAAAAGGATAATTGTTGTTATCCTTATTATGTTTAAAAAGTAACGATGTTGTGTAAAAATAAACATAATACGTTCTTTAGACACATACATCTGTGCGTCTTGTTTCTATCAATAGCTTCTATTTGATCCAATTACGTGCCCGCATTGCATGCGCTATTGCAACTTCCATGACACGGTTATAGGGTTTATAAAATATATTAAGATATAATCACGCAACATAGACTAATTCTTACTAACTGATGCAATTTCTTTTCGCAATGACATTCTATTAATATATTTCTTACAAACGTATAGCCCTTGTAACGCGATAATTTGAATTCGTAATGAGTATATAGAAGAAAATAACTTAGAACACCGTAATTATTTTGAAATATTCGATCGACAAATATTAAGATGCTTTATGAAGCGTGACATGCATTGTTATTACAAAGCAATAAAACTAGAAATAATCGTGCTCATTGAAAAGAAAATTAAAACCTGATTTTTAGATATTTTGCGTGAAGCCAATGAATTGCATGATGTAAGCTGTTCTCAAAAGTTTACAGTTTTCCTAAATTACCTTTATAGCCGCTTTTAGGGCAATCTGGTATTTAGGTTTCTCGAATAATCAGTCCAAATAGCACTAAATGTTGATTGGATAGGATATTACTTCTCTCTAAACGTATATGACAAATTATGATCATTTATTTCATCACACCCGCCATATCTCCAAAATGTTTTATTAAATACAATCAAGGCCTAAAGGATGGGTATGCTTACTTCCACCGATTTCTTCAAACAAGTGTGTAGTAGCGCACGGGTTGTCTGTTGTCATCAACTACACGTCCAGATATTATTCGTATTAGTCTTCGTCAGTTGTCAGCTGATTTCATTAGAATCATGCGGACTGTGAGACCGACTTCTGCGGCTAATGGTTGCTTTTGACAGTATGCCCCCGTGATAACGCAATGGCTAACCCATTTGCCTGCTAAAATTGAAAACCTATGTGGCCTACATTCGAAGTCGGGCACATTCGTTTCGTACTGGTAGGGGCCAAGCGTCCAAAGTAATGCCTAACGATTTAAGTACGTTACGTAAAGTATTAGAAACAACGTTTGGATTGTTTTCTATAGTACAGTATGCAACATAAAACGCCATTGTGCGGAATAAATCATTAGTGATGGACAGATCTTTAATGTTAAGGGCTTTCAATATACCCACTTTTATATAAGTTGTAAACGACCTTGAGCTTCCTCCGAGTTGTTCAAGAAATAACAATGCATAAACTCGCCTAAAACCGACACATGCACATAAACAAAAAATGGCGTAATCAAATATAATGCTAGATGTAGCTAAATGCTAGCCCAAACTTAATGCTCCAAAATAGATTTTCGTACGTCTA